AACCACATTATTTATCAAACAGAGAAAAGGTGATAAATATGTATTGAATCCTTAACTCTCTACTAAGACGCAATCTTAGGGTGCTCAATGCACTAAAAAACTAATTTCTTGGGGTACTGCAGCACACAACTTTCAGAATGGAGAGGTTTCTGCAGGGTGTCTTCATATCTCTACATACGCAGTAAATTATGGTTCAAAGAACTGGAGCCAGTTAAGAGAATACTAACATTGCATCTATTTTTACAGTTGTATTTGTCAACTGGATCTTATAGAGCTCTGTCTCTCGTTTTTGGCTGCATAGAATCACTGACAAACACAGTTCAGATTTTCCTATTTATCATTACCAGTCATTTATGTTTTCATGGTTTTTCATATAAGCCTCTCTAGTTCAAATTGAAAAAAATGTAACTGGTACACTATTCTGAATTGTTAAGGTTATATTTTACTATGTGTCAAAATCTATCAGAATTTTATAAGCTTCCATAAATTTTCTTTCTGAAATAATGAAGAAAAACTGTGAAGCTTTATTATTTTGTTTTAAACAGTCAGTAATTTCAACTTCTTAAAAAATACATTTTCTAAATTGAAAATAACTATTCTAAATCCTTCCCTAAGTGCAGAACAGCCCAACATCTGAGTAAGGTGTTTGGCAGCATAGCTTCACCTGAGAAATGTTCTGAACACTTCAACAAAGTGATTATTCACATAACCAAAGGCAATGAACGTTGTCTAGTGTAAATCTTTAGCAGACTAGACAGCAAAACAGACCATTCTGGCAGTACTGAAGTTTGTCAGAATTATCTTGGAAGAAGACATGAAACAAATACTTTTCTACACATAAACAATACCTTGGAAAAAATTGGGTAGGAAATTGAACACAGAGAAAAAATTTACCCTATATGTGTCTCTGTAGTTCTGCCTTCACCACTGAACACACATCTAGCTGCTAGGATATCATCATAGCTAACATCTACAGGCTGTTGTACTGGATAGAATGCCTGAAAGAGAGGATGATTCACCATAATTAGTGAAAACGTCTCGTATTATTTACATCAATACACAAATACACGAGAATGACGGTGTTACGCATTTGAAAGGTAATTTCAGAAAGGTTTTTTCATCACAATGTAATCATGATAATACTTGGCAGTACTTACTTCCAGTGGCACAACATGTACCAGCAGAAACATTACGACACAGATCTGTGCCGTACATGACTGTCAATTGAGCTTCTCAGTTTTAAATAACGACAATTGAAATGTACTGTTCAAATTAAAAAAACAACCAACCTGTGGTAGTTGTGGACTCTGTCTACCAATCAATGTCCATTGACCGTTTCTCACTCTGTATCCACTCACTACTTTACCTATAACATACCAATATGTATGTAAACGTAAGACATACTTCTAAAAAAAATATGCTGTAGTATCAGAATTTTTCTGTTAAATATTTGATATTCCTATGTTGCAATAAAACTCTTACCTAGTCTGTGTGTATGAACTCTGTAGGCAAAAAGGTGCATTGGAAACCTTTTGTAATGGCAGGCAATGTCTGCATCAACCACTGTTAAAATATGATGGTAATAGACAAAGAAAACCACATTATTTATCAAACAGAGAAAAGTTATACTACTGTACTTCATTCAGTGTAAAAGCTGTTTACAAAAGATATACCTACACCGGACAACAGATAATTTCAAAAGATACTCAATAATATATTTCTGCAGTGTCTATCCCAAGACATGTCTAAAGAAAAACTAATAAAATACAGTACAAGTCAACTAAAAATTACTTTCTGAGATGATGTACACACAAAATGGGGCTGAAACTAAGCATTTTTTCCAGTGTACACTACTGTTATTTAATGAATTAAAGTAATACATTTGCTTACAGACTATGTTGAGGGACACTTACCCTCAACACTTAATAGTGTACTTAGGACAAAATTAAAATAAACTGATATAATTTGAAATGGATACAATTTATAATAAAGGCTTGATTTTAAGATCCTATACTTCTAGACCCAGTCTAAAAGATTTAGGGTTAGATGCAGTCTTTGGCATTGCTGTACAATGTCTGCATGCTAGTGCTTGTGTTAGGTGTAGTAACAATAGCTAAGGAAGACCCTACAGAGAAATTCCTCTGACGATGCCTTTCTGAGAGTATCTGGGGACTGACTGAATTTTTCCTGTTATAGCAAACTTCATGCTTTACTTAAGAACTCCAAATTTGACTGCACATGAAAAGGCAGTTATCAACAGGCACAGAACTGTTTTTATTCTCCTTTCCCTCACCCCTCCAGGTGAAAAAGTACATTTCTGCACTGATCAAATATCTCCTGGGGCAGATCAGTTTGATATTTTCATAATGAAGAACAGCTCCTTACTGGCAGAAGGTCGTTTATTAAAACTGAACTCTTAGTAAATCACATATAGCATGAATGACAAATGCAGCTGAAGAAGAGTCCAAAAAGCTTTCTGGTGTTTTAGGGGGGGAGGGGGAGTAAGAAAGTAGATAGGGATTTTTTGGTAAAATATTAAAACTAAAATAAATCAAAGTAATACTCTTAAGAATCCTAGAAACTTAAGTATTGCACAGATCATTACTGTTTTGTAGAACATTGTTTTCTAGAACACTTACCGTCTTTGCAAATGTAGTCATCGGAAAATATGATACAATTTTAAAATTGTAACTATTTTTTTCATCATTGTTGAATTAAGCAATTAATCTGTCCATCTACAATTCAGCAAGTCTCGTCTAAATTTTCTTCCGCAATGAGCAGTAAAAATAAATCATGATGCTGAAATTATATAATCACTTTGTAGAATTATGACTCACCTTTCTCACCTGGTGGTATTACAGTGTTCACAGACATCATAAGATACATTCCAGCAATCAAAGGCTGCCTGAAATTCAAAACCCAAGCTCTGCTAAACAAGTTCTTCATAAAACCCGACTCCAAGTGATATGACATGTAACACCATTTAACGTCACTAATTTCTAAATGCTAGTTTATATCTGAAACTGGCCTACTGAGAATGAAGCTGTTACACAGCACTTTCCCTCCTTTTTTTTCATACTGAGATACAGCTTTTCAAAGCATCTACTACAAAGTATGTGAAATAGGACAAAATGATCATCTAACATAACTGCCGTTCTTGTCGCAGGTTTATACATATGAAGTTCTTAAACTGGATTAACTCAGTACCGATATCATTGGTTTCATCAAGTTTCTTAGAAGAAATGATTTTTTTTGCCAAAAGATGACACATGGCTTCAAAATTCTTAACATTGTGAAGTATGTATTATTTTAATTACACATGTTTTCAAAGGAATCAAAAGGAGGGGTTTCCATACCTTCTGTTCTGATTAAAAAAAACAAAACAGGGAAGTATTTTTAAACATACTTACTTTTGATGTGTCAGATGTAAAGTTACACCAGAGCAGTCCTTGTGTTTATCTGTACAAATCACAAACCAGTTTAATCATTAGCAATCCATGCAAAATTATTCCATGTTAATAACATTCTTCTGCTGCATAAGAAATAGCAAAAGAGAAAATAAGTTTTAATCTTACTGTTTGCAATAAAACTTTCATATTATGGAAACATTACTCAAATTTGCACAAATGTGAATATCACAGTGCTGCATGTGTAGAAAAATCTTAATGCAGAGAAAACTCTGGTGGATGAAAAACTAACTTTTTTTTGGCACTAGAAATAGCAGAACTTTGTGAACTAGCACCTGGGAGATGAAACATTGCCACTTTTACAATAGCGGAAAAAGTTTGTTTTCTTCAAACAAATTAGTATTTTCACAAAAATTACAAAAATGAAAGATTAATTGAAAAGCCATTATTTTTGCCATTAATAATGAAGCAGACAGAAATCTTGTAACAAAGTCAACAAGTGAACTTGAGATATCAATAGAGACAGTAGTTCTGAAACTCTGTTCCCTTTTTCTGAAACTCAGTAGTTCCCTTGAGACTCAAGGGCAGCCTTGTCTGTAGTGACC